TGGGAATCTGAAAAATCCATTAGAGTCCATCAGACAAAAAAAGACAGAATGATAGTGTGTATGAGTATGAGCAGTTTATAAAACCATATCATAGTTTTGCCATTAATGCACATGTCAGCAGACATTTTATTTTCGCCACAACTTCTTAATGCAACAACTTGCTTTTAGACATCAGATACCGCCGAAGTGCCACATTACAAAACTAAGACCAAAAACAAAACTATTAAAATAAGTATCATAGAGATGCGGAATGCACGGTTTCTCCTAACCTCATGCAGTTCTGAGAAGCTTTTTATTTGTTTAGTCATATTTGCCCTCATTTACAGTACACTACAAACCAGGTAAACCTGCCCTGTGAGCACCGATCCTCCCCTCTCATACTAAGATACCAAACAAACCTGTTTAAATCCTCAAATAACCATCTTTTACCTTTTAATTCTCTTTCTTTCACCTCCTTTTTCTTTATGATTCACCTCAGCCTCTCCTTCCATCTTTTTCCGCTTTAAGTGGCAGTTGGGAATGGCATTGTTTTTAATCATCAGAACCCAGAAATTATTATTATCGCCTCTGACGCGGCAATTAAAACTTCAGGTCAGAGGCACAACGAGCGGTGATCAGCAGCGAAGCTGAGAAGTTTTAATTAGACGATCAGAACCATTAATGCACAAAAAAAGGTGTGCGCTGGGAAATTAACGTGAACGTCTTAATCAGGGTTACCGACTCCGAAGAGGAGTCAAGTGAACAGAGAGCAAAAAACAAATCATTTCCGCACCACTGGGACAAAACTCAATTAAATATGCATGCAGAAAATGGAAATTCGGAGCATCAGCACAGACCGTTGGAAAAAATACGGCAAATTCCATAGACGGGGTCGCAGACCTGCTTATTGTTATTCTTGTGTAATAAAATCGAAAGAGAGGACAGATGCTGGAGAACGAGAAGTGTGTGGAGAACCGGTCCGATGCTGACTTTTCCGCTCCCCTTCCCTCGGAGCGGTGGGGGACACAAACTCCTTCCTGCAAGCTGTAAATTAGCAAAATAAAAACAGAGGGGATTATTTCAGCATATGTGTGTGTCCGAGCTTTAGTAGGTGAGGAAATACCTGGGAACCTGGCTCCATCTTGTTGGAAACTGCATTGTAAATATGCAAAATAAAGCACCAAGGAAGGGGCAGGAACAGCTAACCGTTCTCATTTCTTGGTTTATTTGACATTTACCTCATTAAGTTGCATTTGCAGAAGCCCCTGACAGTCAGAGGTCCTAGATCCTCTACCTGGAACAAAACAAAAAAGGTAATTCATACACATTCCAGGTCAGTAAATCTGTCAAAAGGATTATAATAGCATAATAAAGCTTTTAAAAGTCAGGACAGAAAGAAACTGCTCTGACAGGAGGATCTTTAAATAATGAAAAATAATCCAATGCTGTCCAGGCCTGTTGCATTAATGAATGCTCCGTATTATCAGGGTTTTGTCGTTGCATTAGTCAACGTATTTTGAAAGTCTGTATGAAATCAGACAGGGCAGATCAGAGTGTTAGATCACCACTAAGTCGAGGGATTCAGGTTTAGCCAAGTAAACAGAGTTTGTTTCTAAAACAATCGCTGCAGTGGATGCCAGGTGAGAAGGAGTCTGTCATATCCCAGCTTTAGCGTGCATACGCTTCCTGTCAGACCGAGAGTGAGAGAGAGAGAGACGGAGAGACGGAGAGAGTGAAGAACAGGACACGCCAATCTAAGCAGTCATTAACAGCCACTTCCTCACTCTGGTGGGCTGATTGCAGTCAGCACACGTTCGTACAAATAATGCACTTCCAACGGCATTATTAGGATTTGAAACACCACTTGATTGGGCATGATATCATTCCGGCACATAAACAGAAGCTCCGCATTAAACGAGACACGCAGGGCCCGGAGAGCCACGTTCAAGGCAGCTTTTCTGTCATTCCCAGCGTCCTCCGCCTCACACTTCTGAAAAGAAACAGGGCTTGTGGGGCCTTTGATGTGCGAGCAGATAAAAAAAAAAGCTCTCTCACTCTTATTGTTGAATCTGTTTAGAATAGTTTCTTGACTTTTTCGCAAAGGTTTTCTCCTTATACAGTAAAAGCATTACGGCAATTCCAGCTCTGCACTATTTCCAGTAAAAAATATTGTCAGCATTACAATAAACAGGACCTCTTAAAGAAAACAAGCTTTTGCTGTGATCATCCCCACTGTTCGTTTATTATTTAGCGCTGACAGGTGTCTTCGAGGGCCTGAAATAATAGCGTTTTGCCGAAACGCATCAAATCAAGGTTTGCTGTTTGTTACACCTATTTTTCTTAACATGAGTGCCGGTCTCCAGAGTGGTGGGAGGGATCCCAGAGGAGAGGCTGTTCTTTTATCTGCGTCCCTACTGATTTTATCGCACTGCATGCTATCATGAACACAAACGACTTTGAGTAAACAGCGGTGTTACCATAGCGATCTCCATTGTTGGTCAGAGCTGAGGCATATCTATTGCCGGGCATGTATTTAATGCAGCAGCTACTAACTGGTTTACCGTGATCTTTTTTTTGAGCTCCGGAGAGTCTCATTAGTGCCCTGATCCTCTCTCATTTAAAACCTCAGATCTCATCTCTAGACAAAGAGCCTTATTTTTTTTCTTCATATTATATTTATTATAATATTTATGTTATATTATATAGTATATTCATTAATGTAATATTTAACATTTAATATACATACATGAATGATTCAGTTTAGAAATACTTTTTTATAGAATTTTCTATTCATATTTTTATGTGTGTGTATAATTATACATTTTTTTAGAAATTATTTTTATAATATTTATTTTTATTTAAAATGTTACAGATGTTTGTATACCTTTCAATTGAATTGAATTGAATTGTTTGCATTATTTACAGTTCCTTATAAAATTATTGGTCACTGACAAATAGTTAGCATTTACTCACAAAAGCAAATTTCTATTTGCATTTGCCACATGGCGAGTGCTAATTTTAGATGCTGGGTGTTGATCATGGGTGTTTTGATTGTTAAAAAGAAAAAAAAAAAGAACCGCACATAATTTGTGGGTAATGGAACGAGATCGCTTCTCAGGGGTCATTTCCTACAAGGAAAAGCGAGATTGCAATGCAAAGGAAATCACTAGTTAAAGCATGAAATACTGAGCAGGGTAAACAGTGAATGACCTTTACTGTTACGCCCAAATGACCTCAATCTTCCTTTGGAGGTGTTCTGAAAAAATACTTCAGAATTTATGTTTCCACTTCCTAATAGTTTTTGCAGCTGATTTTTTTTTGGGGGGGGGTTCAAAATTGCTGTCCTCAACTGAATGACCTCTTCAACCCAGGCCTTGCAATTGTCTAAAGTAAAAATGAGCACATCTGAGGCATTTAGATGCATGCGGTGCAGCATAGAGCGTGCATAATTCCTCAGCTCATTGTTTCAGAGAGGAAGTGTTGAGTGTAAATACAGTAACTGAGAAAGCATGTGCCGGGGGCCACAGGGTGCACGGCACATCTAGTATGTAACAGGCTTACCTTGAGTCTCTTCAAAAGCTCATTATGCCAAAAAAAATTCATTTAGATTTCAATTTTACACACTTTCCCATCAAAAACTGTGATATTTTATTGTTAAAGCATCCATTCGAACCAAACCATCTTTTGTATTGACAGCTTCATGTGATGTTTAGAAATAGCTCATCTCAACGCAGCGTCTAACTACCAGCTAAAGCGTTCCACAGACCGTTATACATCCCGCAGGTTTCCCATTCTTTATTTACTGCAGGATAAACATCTAACGGGCTCGATTTTAAGCCTGGAAAACCTATTAAAAGTGAACTTTGCTCAATCTTTGCATCAGATTTGTGGCGAAAGGGTGACTTAGCAGTGAGAGAATTCTGCCCTTAAAAAGGCATCTCTGGATATGGACGGACCCAGAACAGCTGCAGGGGGGAGTTGACGCAGGGATAGATATTATAGATAGCACATTGGGGTGAAATAGCAAATGACCAGGCCCATGCGGAATCTTCACATGCAGATTTCTGTAGAATTATTGGAACATTGAACCGTGGAAATTCATGCTGCTGTAAACTGGAAATGCTCTCATTGTGCGGCAGGTAAAATGGAATGAGTCTATTTTTAACTGGAACCGTGTGCGAATGATCAGTTCCATTACACTCTCAACTGTCTATATTCAAGGGGGATGCACAGGAAGTGTGTACTGTATATCTGACTCTCAAACCACTGTTTTGATCTCTTAAATGTCTACTGAAATGAGAATAGCTGTTTATGTGGTAAAAAAAAACAGTTGGTGTGGTGGTCTTCTGCACTTGTATAAGCAGCTTTAGGGGCTGATGGCGAATTTGAGTGACAGTTGTAGAGACTAAAGCAGGTTAAGCGTAGGGAGGTGAGGTGAGGGGATGGCTGCTACTTTTTTCTCTCTGTGTTTGTCTCTTTTATGCTTTCTGTCTCTTTCTTTCTGCTTCTAGATGTACTTTCTTATAGTCTTCCTTGCTCTCATCCCTGCGCTGCCAAGAGTTAAGGCTCACATTGGCAGGATGCTGGGCCTCTTTAGGTGAAGGGAGTCTTCAGTCAGTGTTAGGCTGTCTCTATTCTGCTGTCATGTTCAGGATTAAATCTCACCGTAGTGGTAGCTTGACACACTATTGGGGGTCTGATTGAGATCTAGTTTGTAGGAAGAGATATTTCTCTCATTCCCTTTCTCACCTTCTCTTAGGTGTGAATGACAACTTACAGACATGCATGTGATGTTTTCTTTATAATTCTCTATTGCTCTAGAAAAGGAATGCCTGTGTGTATATAAGAGTAACAGCAAACAAAAACAAAAACAGGTTTGTGTTTTTATTGCGAGAGGCATTGTGGTTAGCTTGAAGCAGTGAAGGATGGCGCAACCGTTATCAATGAGTAAACAACTTCCATAAATCTTGTTTTTAATCACTAAAATGTTCTTTCTTCTTTCTTTCTTATTTCATCAACAGCTGAGAGGAGTTTATGCACTGAAAAGACCTCAGGAAAATCCACAATGGCCGCCAAAAGGAAAGGTGGCCTAAAACTGAATGCGATCTGTGCCAAGCTTAGCAAGCAGGTGGTGTATGACGGCAGCTCCCAGAATGCCGAGGGAGACTCAGATTTAGTGGACAGCAGCGAGCGGGGCAGCTTGCACTACGATGAGGGCGACAGGCCTGAAAGCGACTTCCCAGAGGGCCTGACCCTGGGCCAGAGCCTTGAGGAGGACCAGAAACGGCGCGAGGCCATTGAGAAGTGGGTGAACGGCGAGTACGCCGACGATCCACAGTCCTTAGATGGGGGCGAGCACAGGGGACTCAAACCCAACAATGGAGACGATTGTCCCCCTGAAGGCGTTTATATGGTACAGCCCAAAGGCTGCAGCGATGTAGAAGACAACGCGGAAGAAGCCGACACCATGCCAGGCTCCCACGAGGGCAGTTATCATGAGGACAAGGACTCGGAGGGCAGCCCGCACAAGGACGACAGCTACCAGCCCACCACTGAAGCCCCCCCTCGCCAAGCCCCCTTCTCCTCACCAGGTATCACCTCTTTCTTTTAGGATAATGTCATTAGTATGCATAGGTATTTGTATGTTACATTTGCACACACATTTTTGTATGTTTGTGCACAATATCGACAGCATCTCAAACTGTAGACATACAAATCCAACTTGTCAGACTCAGAACAAATATTTCCAAAATTTTATGAGGGTCCCCTGATGAATAGGTTCAGTACTCCCAATCTCATACTGGGATGAAGAGACTTCTGTCTGAGAAATTCTTTATAAATGAAATCTAGATAGAGATAGATAGATTAACAATAAAATGGTATGTTAAATTGTCAAATAAATGTGATGACATTACAAAATATTACATTTTAAACATTTAATTAATTTATTAAAATAAAATAAAACCAACTTTTTAATCTCACGAATTTATTATTCTATGAATCTCAAAACATTTAGATTTTAGATGCTGTTAGTGTGTTGACTGCATTTCAGCGTCTGAAAAAAAACATGCAGATCTACACTTGACGTACAGTAAAAATACTGTTTAGATCACATTGTTCAGTATTTTTCTCTGTGTAGCCAAAACAAGTGTGCATAAGCAAGATAAAATCTCTCCTCAAAGGCTTGCCGGCTCAGTTTTCACAGGTCTTACTTTACCTGTGTGCTTTGCAAGCATAACTACAGTGACACTTTGACAGGGCCACAGCTACACAAGTGCAGTTCTAGGAAAGAGAATTCTATAACATAAAAAGAGTAACTGTTGCCATTCGCAAACATACTGTATAGAAACAATCTGCATTGGGGAAAACGGGAACTAGAAGAAGAAATTCATTTTTAGAAGAGGCTTATAGAGACTGCCGTGTATGTGTGTAGCAGCCGAGGGGCCAAGAGTGCAGGCCGGCTAAGCTTCATATTACACCCAGGATTACACTCTGACTCTTTGATTTTCTATAAGCTCACAAAACGTAGCTACCACCCGGACCCAATTACATAGTAGACCAGCTCTGCCGAGACTCCAGGTCTCTATCAGTTCAGGAAATTAAATCCTAGAGATTCAGAAAAATAAAGTCTTGAGTATAACGAGTGGCCTTTAAATCAGTATAGAAAGAAACGAAGACTACATTTACTTCTGTGTTTGCTGTACAGTCATCTAGATAACATGAGGCAAGCGCTGCCATCCTTCACAAAGTGATAACAAGCAAGCAAAATCTGCAGAAACTGACACAATCTCCACCTTAAAACCTCTGTGAACTTTCACCTCTGACTATCTCAGGAAGACTGCAGTACTCGACAAAGGTACAAGACAGAAACTATGCTAGATAGCAACAGGAGATAAGAGATATCACTTTGTTTAAAAGACGTTTCTTTTCTCAGATAGCTACTGAAATCAGGTTAAGCTGGTGCTTTTTTGTCAAATGCTTTCTTCTTTCAGTTTTTCTTCTGCTTCATGTTTTTTTTTCATTCTTATAGTAGAAGCACCTATATGCTTGTGGCCTCTATCACAGAGGTAGGGCCAAGAGTTTCTCAGAAAATCAAGTATTTTCCGGCAAACATGAGTGCTTTGTGGTTTTAATCAGTCATTTTGTGTTTATTTCATGGTCATAAAGAAAGCTGTCTGTAAATATGTGTTTGTGTTGTACACCTTTGCTTTCATTGAGCCCTGGCTGCTTCTGCATCTCAAAATTAAGAAAAAGCGTTTGAAGACTGCAGTGAGCAGACATTAGTCACCACTCTTGTCTTGAGTTGTTTTTCCCTCCTCTCTCTCTTTGTTGATTGTAACTAGGGCATCTATACTGCCATGTTACTGAGCGGCTCACAATTAAAATATTTTTTCTTCCCTCGTGCTGCTGTCTTTCAAAGGCTGATGCAGAGCGCACATAATTATGCATATAAACATAGTGGCTTAATTATCTCTCACAACATCAGTGACAATGTAATTAACAAACATCGCAAGATCAATGAGAGAAACTGCGACCTTCAAAACATTTAACTCCTCACATCAGGGGACTGAGCAGAATCCCTATCAGCATAAAATCACAGAATGCCTCCCATAACAGTCAAATTCATGCCATGCTCCCAACCAGGCTAGGCCATAGATCATGTAAAAATATCAGTGCATAAAATATTAGCTATATAAAAAAAATGTTTTCACTCGTAGTTTTTTTAAGTATATAATTACATTTTTATAAATATTTGTATCATTTTTAGTATATTTTTCACTTCAGAATTATTTCTAATAGAATTTAATTTTACTTCTAATAATTCTAACCAAAGATGTTTGGTAAAATTCATAGTTTAGCCACACTAGCTAGCCAAATAAATTAAGCTACCTTTAGTTTTGCTTATCAACAGAAGCTAATATCATCCCCTGTTAAAATATTTTTATGTTTAATGAGTGGTTTCTTGATATTACCGCAAATTTTATTGGATTTTTTTCTGAAGAGAAATACAGAGGTATGTTTTGAAGTCTACATCTTTCAAAATATAAACTGTTGAGTTGAGTCTAAAACTGAACAAGTTTAAGATTTAAAAATCAGCATCAGAAATGTCCGTTTGAGAACAGTGACAGTGTTGTCAGTGGACCCTAGATAAGTCCATATATATAGATCCTTACATGTGTGTCCTTATCATCACCACCACTGCTTCTGATGGCCATGTTTGGTCAGCAGAAAGGAGATATAAAGCCCATTTGTTATCACACCACGGAGGGAAAAATGTACCTTAATTGCCTCAAACGTAGACAAGGGCTTTGTCACAGGCTGGAATTTGCCAGTATGAAGTGGTGAGATTAGAGCACTTCTTTTTGTACTCTCCAGTGACATGAGGAAGAGAGAGAGAGTGCTGGGAGTTCAGCCAGGCAAATCGTACCTTTCCACCAAAGCCATGGCTTTCCAACCACATGCACATGACATCATTTGGAGCGTGTGAGATAAGGATGAGGGGGAAAACTCATTTACATGCTGTTTTAAAAGGTTATCTCCTCTTAGGTCCTGGCATAATGTGTGCAGTTTAAGTCCAATCATTCTCCTGACACTGATAGTCTATTAAACGCATACAGAGCCGCCCACTGGCATGCTAGACTTCTCGTCCTGTCTAGTGTTACCACCTGCTACTACTGTTGCCACAGCTATTACTTTTCCTGTGTGTAGTACAACCAACATCTCTTCTAATACCAACAGATTGATCTCAAAATGACGGTTCACTCAAAAAAGAAAAATGATAAATAGAAAGTTGTCCCAAAAATTGTTTTTCTTTGTCCATGGAACATAAAATAAATCGTCTGAATAACTTTGTTTGCATTCCACGAAAGAAGAAAAACTGAACAGGATTGGAACAACATGAGTTGATCATTTTGGGTGAACTATCCCTGTAACAGTATAGTGGCTGTATATCATACAGATGACTTTTGACACTAATAATAATGCTAATGATAGACCGATAGCACTCAGAGACAGAGAGGGGGATTTCTGTCAGAAAATGAAGGGAGTTTCCCAACTGTTTGAAAAAAGGTACAGATGGAATATGTCCAATTACCCAAAGCAGGAGTGTCTTTGATTGCTGCCCTTGGAAAATGTTCAGGGACAGAGATTAAAGAGCCGGTCCTGACTTTAAAGCTGTGTAAAATCACATGACCTGACAAAACCCCTCTAAGCAGTCATGACCGATACAAAAATACAGTCACTGGATGCCAAATTTATGACTGAAGCCTTGCTTTGCCAAACTGTAGTTCTGGAGATACGTACAGTAGCACTAAATATCCTTCAGTAAGTAATAATAGCTCATTATTTTTACAGTTAGCGTTTTATTTGTGACTGATTCAGCAGTGATTAAATTGAGGCTAATTAACAATAAATGAGTGTACTTTGTCAAAATGTAGTCAAAATAGCAGGCGCTTTCATGTATACAGTGTGCTTTGGTGTCTAATGACAGGCACACAGATGAGGCACACAGATCTCATCTGGCTGTAGCATTCAGTGCATTTTCTGACCATTTTATATGTATATTAAAATATATACAATACACTTGTATATCACATCTACAATAAATACATAATTTTAGTAATATTAATGTATTTTTATATATTTTATTTTCATATATTTTATTTTTAATCTAATTCATTTTATTGTATTCTGTGTGTCGTACTGCATATGCGGTTGTGTGTGTGACCAATACAATTGTAAAAAGCTATACATATATACCTTTCACACCTTGAGTCATTTTCAGTTCCTTTTTTGTACCCTATTTGGTGAGCATGACAGTAATACTCCAAGGCAACAATGAATCGAGAAAGCGAGTAGATGTGGAGACCTGTAAGGACTGTCATGAAGCTCTAATCTTTAAGCTTAAAATGAAATGATGTGCTCAAACACAGTAGAAGCTGCTAAAATGATGCATGGCAAAGCGTAGGGAGTTTCCTCTCAAATACCTGATACATTTCTCTTAAATTTTTCATGCCCTTTCGATCTCCCAGATCACTTTTCATACTGATGTAGCACGGCTAGGACTAGAAGTCTCAGACAGCAGAACGGCAATTCCTATAAGCGACCCTCCAAGTATGACTTGGAGAATGTCAAGTTCCTGCACCTCTTTAAACCCGGTGAGGGCAACCCTGACATGGGCGGCGCCATCGCTTTTAAGACCGGCAAGGTCGGCAGGCCGTCAAAGTACGATATACGAAACATCCAGAAGCTCATTCCTGGGAAGGTCTCATCTTTGCATTTGTGCTCTCTCCAAAAACACACATAAATAATTTATGCATTCAAAAACATTTTTTTCCCTCTGTGCTTTCATTGTTGGGAGGCCATGCATCAAAGCGTGCATATATACCTCCCTGATTCATTCCCAAACCAAATCGCTACTCCATCGAAGAAAATGTATATTGATAGCCCAAACTTTGAAATGGCTCATAAGTAAATACTGCGTCAGTTTGTTTTTATTACTGATGGAATGTATACCATTAATCCTTTTTCTTTTTTTCCGTGCTATGATAGGAACGGCCTTCCTCCTGAGAAACCTGCCACAGAGGACGTCAACGTGTACCAGAAATATATCGCCAGGTATGCAAATCCTCACCCTCACAAAACTTCACGACAACATTCTTTAATCGAGGACATATTTTACGTTTTAATAAAGTAGGACGTAGATTTGCAAAAATACACTTTCTGTGCGGACGATAAATTACGCGTAAGCGCGCCAGGTTTATGGACTAAGGAAAATTAATTGAATTAAAGGCTGGAAAGCGAGTAATTTTTTTCCCCAGTGTCAGTTTCCCTGCCAGCGCTGAAGCCGAACTCCGTAAAATCTTGAGCAAACAGCATGAAATGTTTGTGAAAACATCGGACACATTAGACTGCCCTGCGTGTGCCCGTGTGTCATCGGGCATGACTGCACAGATAGTTGAGACTTTCATTTCTAATATCTGCACTTCAAATGAAGATACTGAATCAACTAAATGACAGGCACTCGCAACTGCAGACAAAGCACGGAGATAGATGCAGCGCACTCCAATATCGGCTTCTGTTTCCTTTTGTCGCGCCAGTAGAAAGGTGATAATCATTTGTTTATTTATTCTAGCCTTAAAGAGAGAAAAAGGCGTGTTTCAAAAGGCAAAGTGGCTTTGGCGTTAATGATTACTCTCCCAAGCCGTAACATGAAGGCCACAAATCAAAGCCCTGGCACTAACAGACACACACACATCCTTGTGCACACACAAAAACCCTCCTTGGACTGATTACATTTTGCAAGAAGATTTAATTAAGGAATTTTTAATGAGGCTTCTGCTGGCACTGCCAAGAACTGTTTTGATATTTGCACTGCATAATGCATAAAATTTGTCTAAACATCTCGGCAGTTGATGCGCGGGGAGGCAGTAGATAAGCCCAGATACAGTTTCAATTTCCGTGTTGGGAAAAAAAGAAAGGAAAGAGAGGAGGGGAAAAAAGAAAAATGAGGACTCATAAAAAGGGCAAATGCTGCCTGGTGTATTGGCGGGTTGTTGAAGGATCGGGGGGTGGGGGGGGAATCATCCACGCTAATGAGAGAACAGTCGTGCTAAAAAGCAGCTTTGTAAACTTGTCTACACCCACCTTCCCCCCCACAAAAGGGGAAAAAGTTCTTTATCTCCTCGCGCTGCCGCGGTTTGATGTTTAAAGAGCTTCCCTGGTAGTGTTTAGTCACTGTTTTCCCTCCTAAATGCTTTTATGTACCCACCATTGCGCCAAACTTTGATCGGCGTGTCTCTATTGTAACGGGAGATGTGTGGCAATCTCTGTATCGTGGCGATATTAATATTTAATCTGCCGCTGAATAGCAGCGTGGCCCATTAGCCCCCTGACGCGGCAAGTGGGAATTGTCCAGAGGCAAAGTGATACAGCTGGGGTAGGCTGCCATCCCAGGGGGCCTCTGTGTACACAGGACCGGGAATGTTTGAGTGCGACGCAGAGGGGCTGCTAATGGTGGGTGAGTTTAACACATGCATCTGTGCTGGTGCGACTGTGTGATACACCATACCGTAGCCTGTGCTCTAATCTCTTTTGCAAAAAATAAAAATAAAAATTCTGCTCCCATTTATTCACCTTCTTGTCATTCCAAACCTTCTGTGGAACAAAAAAAGGAGACATTTTGAACATTATACTGGCCATTTTTATCCCATGCAGTTACTGTGAATGGGGACTGAGGCTTTTAAGCTTCATGAAAATATATTATAAAAATGGACCATATGACTATATGTTTTGAGTTTTAAATCCAAACAATTGCTTTGCATTTCAGTGTTATTCTTCATTTCTCTTTTCAGCAAACTGATGACTGCTGTGACTGGATCAGTGAGTCATTGAGTTGAACTCAAAAACCAGATCAGTTCAGTTTGTGAACGAGTCATTCATTTTGAATCAAATTTAAGTGACTCATTAAAAACAATCCAACTCAAAAAAAAGAAAAGAAAAAAGATTAGTTCACAAACCTCATAATACTATTTCTCTCATGAACTGTCATGAATTTAGCTTAAATTTTAATATACCTCTAATAAAACTTTCAAATGGCTTCAGAAGACTTGGAATATAATTATATAGACTACTTTTATTATACTTTTATGGAGCTCAAACTCTCCAGTCCTCATTGAGTGCAATTGCATTGAAAAAACAAAAACACCAATAAATTTGTCAAAATTTTTCTTTTTGTGTTCCATGAAAGGAAAAAAATCAGGGGGGTTTGTAAAGGACATGTAGGTGAGTAAACGATCATTTTAGAGTGAACTGATCCTTTAAGAAGCAAACGAAAGTGCCTGCCACCTCCCCAGTCCTTCAGAACACCACCCACGTTTAGCAGGTAGTGGATTCGCCATTCAATTAGCTTAATGAACTCAGCAAAGTGATTTGTAAAAGCAGTCTAGGGATAATCCAGGCAGTAGGGGGAAAAAAAATTACTTAGCTTTTTCTCTACTTCAGCAGATGGTGCTCTTGGCAGCGGCGGTGCGAATGTTTATTTGTGTGTTTTGAGCTGTAATTGGAGGTTTTTAACAGTCATCATCGTCAGGGTTATAATCAGCCTGTAAACACTCAGGAAATGTGCCTCTTTAAAGCGCCACCAATGCGCTGAAGACCAGGCGAGTCAGTCAGTGAAAGTGAAGAGGAGGAAGCCGCACGGAGACACACTCAAACCTTTCTATTAGGCCTAACCTTTCCCTGATTAAAGCATAGGCTGTTAACCTGGAGAGCCGAACGCTGATTTGGCAGGGCTTAAAGCACGAGCAAATGAGTGAATTATGTCGGGGGTTACAGTTTAATAAGAGTCTACCTACTCCCTTTGAAGGCAATGGAACTAATTTGGTGGAGATTGCTGTGGCTGGAGAGTGAATTGCAATCGTATGGTCGAGGAAGCGTAGGCCTGTTTTCTCTATGTGTTTATAGTTCCTGGTAATGACTCTGAGCTCCGTGAAGATGACTCTGTCAGTGTTAGGGCATCTATCAAGCGGAGATAAAAGGCTAAATTGCCCTTTCAAGATCAGCCCCCACATTGTTAGAGGTTTCGTATATGGAATAGAAATAGCGAAATGCTACTCCGTTTCAGTAAATGCTGATTTTGTTCTCTTTGAAATTGATCGCTTTGTCTCACTTGCTGTTTTTCAAATCGTGTTTATCTTTGTGCTCAATGTGATAATAATGTTTGCATTCAGAATGCTCCACCAAAACGCTAACAATGACACAAATATGATATTTCTGTCTGATTGTAGGTTCTCTGGGAGCCAACACTGTGGCCATGTGCACTGTGCTTACCAGTACAGAGAGCATTATCACTGCATGGACCCTGAATGTAACTATCAGGTGAGTACGACAGCCGCAAGCAGGGTTCAAAATTAATGCTCACCAAGTGCTAATGCAAGTAAAATCGCCTGTAACTTTCTTAGTTCACCCACTTTTTGGTGATAAATGAGACTGTCAGCCGGTAATTTTTGTAATTATACTGGCATAGGTCAACACACCTAAACATTCATCCCTCACTGCTTAAAATCCAAGCACCTGGCTTCTGTAAGGATAACCACATAATGCAGAGAGTGTCACAACACCAATTTAAAGCTCACCTTCACTCTTTCTCCATCACTTCCTGACAGGAGAGAAAGATAACTGTTAGAGGAAATGATTGAAGTGTGCCAGGGTACACACAAGGAAACAGCCAAACAAAACCTTATGGACAAGGCTTTTATCTTGCCATCATACTGGATTAACAGGTTTAGATAGATGAGGTCAATTTCTCAAAACTCAATCAGACAGAGAGTGGCATTCCTTTTTTTCATGGTTAATGGTAAATACTTTCAAAAGATGCCTTCTTTTTTTTCTAAGGACATCTGCTAATACTCTTGGGCCACTCATAATCCCCTTTCGCATTATTAATCTGATCCATGTCCTCAGAGTTGTCATGTTCAGCACAGCAAAATCAGCATTAAGCAGATCAGAACACAGACAGCAGCGGCTCACGCGCATATGGTGGAAAAGAGCAGGCAAAGACGGGCGCATTTGTCGAAGACATCAAAAATCCTCCCGCAACGAGAGCCGCTCCGTCTTTTCTTTATCAAGTCCTCTCTAGTCATAATCTCCCACTTCATTTTTAATCATCTGATTACATTTTTCATTATAAACATCCAGGAATCCTGCTGAAGACAACAGGGCAGCTGTTGCATCTAAAAGGGACTTATTCAGCCCAGCAGGCTGCCTCTTGTTATTCAAGAACAATTCCTCAAACTGTAAGAAGAGTCGGCTGAAAAGTCCCTTTGAAACTGTCCGTTTTTGGGACTTGTGTTGGTTAAGAATTCATTGATTCCATTATACATGCGCGTCATTTTCTGATTAAGGTTGATATTCTGGATAAGCCTTTGCTCTTATAATTTCACATTTTATAATCCACTTATTACAAACTTAGGCCATAAAGTTTGTTTTAGTGGTTGTAAAATGTTAGTAACCCAAATCTGCCTTTTAATAACTCAAAATTCTGATTGATACAGGCGCAAGCTTTCCTGTGGCTAAAACAATAGAGTTTGTTACTAGCAACACCAAGGTGATGGGTTCGATTCCCAGGGAACTCATGAACTTATAATGTTGCTTTAGATAAGTGTCTGCCAAATGCATAAACAATGTAAAAAAATAATGAAAGATCTTATTCGTATTTATATAAACCCATAACTTTGGCGTAATCTAAAGTTGTGGCAATCTGGTTACTGCATTTACTGTACATGTCACTTACACAATTAGAATATGACCGGAATGTTTCTGTGCATGTAAAGGCGTCAGTGAAACTTGGCAGTTTAGCAATGACAGACAGGAGACTGTGCTCACCCTAGCAGAAAAGTGAGGCTCAGATGAACTTGTTTTTGGAATTGATAAGTCATTAAAATGTTACATGACACAGTGCTGGAATATTATCCTGCAGTTGCCAGCCTTTGCTCCACTCCATACTGGCCCTGCCTCTCCTTTCATGGCCATCCTGCAATGCGATGGAAATCCTAAAATAAATGTCCACACGACCGTGTGGCCACTCCGCTAAGTACAGAAGCCCAACTGATACAATTTCCTGCTGTTTTCCACAGTTCCGCTCAGTGTGGCCGGATCTAGATCAGTATCTCTTTTTATTTGTTTGTCAACATCCCAAATACCTGTCATCACCGTTTGTTGGACATCAGCTCATATATCATATAAATACAGTTCTCTTCTTTTGAAACAGGATTGGAAATGTAACACTATATATAGCCAAGGTTTAAGTATTTATCTATGTGTATTTATATATATTTATTTATTTTTTATTTGCCTGTAAGATAAGCTTCATAAATGGGCAATGAGGTTTTGTGGATGTTTCTGTCATATTTTTTTCTCTCCTGTTTCTCATTTATGTAGAAAATATGGATTTACATTGGAAGAGGCTCATTGATTTCAGCTACTCTTGTTTCAGTTCCTGTAATATTAGCTCAAGCCCAATTACTGCAGATTTGGTTGCCCTGATCTCTCAAGAGTGAGGTTTTTTCCCCCACATCGCTTCGTTTTTTTCTCCCGGACTGCTCCGTGGTGTAGGAGATTTTAATTTCGAGGAGGGGTATTTTAGCATATTTCCTCATTATTATTGTCTAACCCTGCACAAAACTGTGCTTTAATACTTTAATTAAAAATGGAATCATATCTCAGACGGGAATTAAAAGAGAAACATTTTTTTGGTTGCCTTGTTTGTTTGTTTGTTTGTTGTCTTTTCCCCGTGCACATTCCTAAACCATCTGCATGGAACGTGATTTTTCAGAAGCGGAGAATATCGCAATTGTGATCTCGCATGTCAAGTGATCCATCTTAATTAGAAATGGTGAAATAAAACGCAATAAACAGTCTAGCTTTTTAAGTAGCAGATTCAAACATCAGGTGAGCCTGGAAAATGCTATAATGTCATAACTGAGTCATAATCCTATGCTTTATTGTTAAGAGAGTCTATAGTGCAAACTCCAAATTAAATACACCCTTCAAAGTATTCACTTTCAAGTTCTCTACCCTGCAATGTGAGTAGGGAACCGTGAATACACCTTCTACCTGCTGCTACGACCGCTGGTGTTTTGCACCGTTCACCCACCTGGCTGCAATTTGCTGCAATGCTCTGCAGCTGTTGCATGAGTAATAAAATAACTCATTGCTGGTTTCCTTCAGAACCTACACACCACCTCCCCCACCTTACTACCTCTGTGTATCTGTTGTTTACAGAGATTCACCAGTAAGCAGGATGTGATAAGGCATTATAACATGCATAAGAAGCGGGACAACTCCCTGCAGCATGGATTCATGCGTTTCAGCCCTTTGGATGACTGCAGTGTGTACTACCACGGCTGCCATCTCAATGGCAAGAGTACCCACTACCACTGCATGCAGGTAAACCACAGCAAAAACCCCCTAGTTTGCAAAAAAAAGAAAAAAAAGAAAAAAAACCTTTAATACTTTAATTAAAAATGGAATCATATCTCAGACGGGAATTAAAAGAGAAACATTTTTTTGGTTGCCTTGTTTGTTTGTTTGTTTGTTGTCTTTTCCCCGTGCACATTCCAAAACCATCTGCATGGAACATGATTTTTCAGAAGCGGAGAATATCGCAATTGTGATCTCGCATGTCAAGTGATCCATCTTAATTAGAAATGGTGAAATAAAACGTAATAAACAGTCTAGCTTTTTAAGTAGCAGATTCAAACATCAGGTGAGCCTGGAAAATGCTATAATGTCATAACTGAGTCATAATCCTATGCTTTATTGTTAAGAGAGTCTATAGTGCAAACTCCAAATTAAATACACCCTTCAAATTATTCACTTTCAAGTTCTCTACCCTGCAATGTGAGTAGGGAACAGTGAATACACCTTCTACCTGCTGCTACGACTGCTGGTGTTTTGCACCGTTCACCCACCTGGCTGCAATTTGCTGCAATGCTCTGCAGCTGTTGCATGAGTAATAAAATAACTCATTGCTGGTTTCCTTCAGAACCTACACACCACCTCCCCCACCTTACTACCTCTGTGTATCTGTTGTTTACAGAGATTCACCAGTAAGCAGGATGTGATAAGGCATTATAACATGCATAAGAAGCGGGACAACTCCCTGCAGCATGGATTCATGCGTTTCAGCCCTTTGGATGACTGCAGTGTGTACTACCACGGCTGCCATCTCAATGGCAAGAGTACCCACTACCACTGCATGCAGGTAAACCACAGCAAAAACCCCCTAGTTTGCAAAAAAAAGAAAAAAAAGAAAAAAAACTGCACATTCACCCTCACATGCAAATACAACTTCCCCTACATGTACAAGATTTGAGACAAAATATTAAATTCAGTTTTCATGAATATTACGAAATAAAAGCTGTGGAATAATACCTAAAATCTACTTTCCATGCACAATATTAGTGGCAGGCGAATGGCACAGACTATTTTGTGTGATGCAATAATCTTTAAGGACACTGAAGTTCTTTAACTTTTTCCTTGACCATTTAAGTGCGTTTTTTTTTATTATTATTTATAAGACAGAAGTTGTCAGAATAAATGAAAGAAAAATTAAAAGGATGAAAAGGGTGTACACCTCCTCTCCCATCGCCCCCTTTCTTTCTCACTCCTTAATTGGCATGGATGAAATTCTATGAGTTGTTTATATGAACTCAACATTTTTCATCTTTTAGTACCAAGTGGCGAGTTAAAGATTATTTCCCACCAGATCTGTTTAATTCTTTACATCTGCTTATTTTCAAGGTGTCACTTGTGAGTCGAGTGCTTTTTTACCCGCAGGCTACAGTGGCCCGGGACTTGAGATATATTCTCTCTTTTTTTAAAGCCTCCCTAACGGCGTAATTGTTATTAGACATTTCAGCTCTTGTTTTAACAGCGGTGAGAACAGGCAGATGTTGGCACTTGATTTACGGAGAAAAAACAGAGTGGCATTTTTTTCATTGTTTGACTGAATATGGCCAAGTTGCCCTGTTTGCACGGGTGAAAAGTGCCAGAGATGATATACAATTGCTGGTTTTAATTCAAACATTAGTTCATGTTCATCTGCTGCCCAGAGAGCTCCTGAGTGCTGCTGTTGAGTAACAGAGCCTTTCAAACCGAACTAAGTGACAGTCTCCCTGAACAACCCCCCTGACACTTTTCCTAAAGCAGAGACCTCTAATATAGACTTAAAACCTTAAATGGAAGAAGGTTTCAACCACAAGCCACCTCACCATGCTGCTTTTGCATGCCACATATTGCAAATCACACACACAAAAAAATAGTCCTGTCTTTTATCTCTTTGAAGCTGTTTTCATGAAACGCACACCTGCTTTTTTGGGTAAAGGGTTTGCTTTTCATATTTATGAGTTGTTGTCTCAAGAGTACATTTTTAACAAAGCTCAGATCTTGAGAAAATGTTTCCTGCTCATTTTTTTAGGTCACCTGTTTCTTTGCTCCCCACATTGAGTTCATCACCAAACTGACTATTTTTGTGTCACATCTCGAGTTGTTGTTTTCATGTCCCTGCACACTACAAGAGCTCAAGCACCAAGCCACTGTTTCATACCGAGCATATTTCATCCAGTGCAACAAACTGAAACTCACACATGGTGTTTATTTCCAAACCGTGCACACGCTTTGTCTCATGAAAGCACTTTTTTTTCATTTCCTGTCTGTCAGGTGGGCTGCAACAAGGTGTACACAAGCACTTCTGATGTCATGACTCATGAGAACTTCCATAAGAAAAATGCACAGCTGATCAACGATGGCTTCCAGAGGTTCCGGGCCACTGAGGATTGTGGGACGGTTGGGTGCCAGTTCTACGGGCAGAAGACCACCCACTTCCACTGCAGGTATGATGGCTGCTCAAATTCAATTTAATGTGTGTTAATTGGCATTTAAGAGTTTAATCCTTTACCTTTCCACCTCTCAGACGCCCAGGCTGTACCTTCACCTTCAAGAACAAGTGTGACATCGAGAAGCACAAGAGCTATCACATCAAAGACGACGCTTACGCCAAGGACGGCTTCAAGAAGTTTTACAAATACGAGGAGTGCAAGTACGAAGGCTGCGTCTACAGCAAGGCCACCAACCATTTCCACTGCATACGCCAAGGCTGCGGCTTCACCTTTACCTCCACCAGCCAGATGACCTCACATAAGCGCAAGCACGAGCGCCGCCACATTCGCTCTTCGGGCGTGCTGGGCCTCACTTCCTCCTTCCTGTTGCCCAAAGAGGAGCTGGAAGAGTCCAGCAATGATGACCTCATGGACTACTCAGCCATTAGCAGCAAGAACTCCAGCTTAAGTGCTTCTCCAACAACCCAGCAGTCCTCTACTGTACAGCACATGCTGTCCACTCCCACCACCACCATGTCCTCCAGCCACAGCATCAAGCCCACCACCGCTCTGCCTCCAGCCAGCCGTATTTCCACCCTACTGTCCCAGGTTCTGCCCAGCAACGTGCCCATGGCCCTAGCACTTTCCAACAGCGCACTGGCAGGTGTTTCCAACCCCTTCTTTCCCCTCATTCCCAGAATGCCCATGTCGCTCACGCCCTCTACCGCCGGTCTGATCTCTGCCGCCACCTCCGGAGGTCACTCCATGCCTAGCGATTCTCTACCCCTGACCTCCACCCCGACTGGGGACCCAGCCGCTGCTACTGTAGCATCCACACCGACTTCTTTTGCTGCATCATCCATTATGGAGAAGATGTCGGCCAGCAAGGGTCTAATATCGCCCATGATGGCCCGACTGGCAGCCGCTGCCCTGAAGCCATCCAGTAACCCGGATGCAGGTCTGTTCATGTCATACTGTATTATTCATTTGTAAAATGAATATTGTTTAGATCAGTGATTCTCAACTGGTGGGTTGCACACAGTAATTATAACATTTATTAATTGAATTATAAATTTAAATATTAGTCATTAGTAATAAATATTATAATAATATGTAAATTCTGGTCAATATCGATAAACCGATCATTATTTTCATATTATGGCTGATAACCGATAAATGGCTGATTTTATGATTATAGCTGATATTATGACTAATAAGTGGCAGATATTAATATTATATTTTATTTTTAAATAAATGACTAAAAACTAAAATCAATCATATTAAATGCTACATAGATTATAGACAGTAAGTTTAATATTATGATACATATGATACAATTTCAATGTAATCATTAATGTTAATATTAAAATCATTAAATTTAATAATAATTAAAATATTATTATTAATTAAATTTCTTCTCAGTACTGATAAGCCGATATGTATTTTCATATTATGGCCGATAGATCTCCAGTATTAAGATTATGCTGTTTTGTCTAAATAAATTAAAATTAAAGCACTAAAAACTAAAATCATTTTAAATTCTACTAAGTGAATTTAGGCTTTACATCACAATTGTAATGTACATTGTGAAAAAAAAATAATACTGATAAAAAAAAAATCTGTGATATCGGCCGATAACCGATATTGTAATATATTGGTAAATAATAAACATAATAAATAATAAATATTTATATATAATAAACATATTGTGCATCTCTAATATTAATCAGTTTCAAGATTTGATTTAAGTTTTTTTCGTTTTTTCTTTCTTCTGATAATGTAAAACTTTTCAGCAAAATCTTTAAGCAAAACCGGTTAAGTGCCACTGGTCTAAATATTCCCAATGTTAATATCTATAACAGGAGTGAAAAAATATACTTTTTAAAAAAGATACTTTGTCAAAGGATCAGTTTTCTTCACTGCGTTTAATCATGAGAACATCAGTTCTCTGGGTCACTCTGCCCATGTGTTTCTCTTTCTCAGTACCTACCCGTCAGTGAAAGGGTACTTTCAGGTCATCTGCTCATGCTATCCACAGACGCTGCTCAAATCTCTGATTTCAGGATTAGGGCAAAATATTAAAGGGCTGGTTTGCTGCTCTAGTCTTGTTATTGCAGCGATCATTGTCATGATACCCACAATCCATTAGCAGATAAGTGCTGAACTAGTGAGTGGGCTCTGTAAAGCTGCCTCTAATAGCATTCTCAGGAGGATCCCAGGGCCGGTGTTCTACATGCTTCCTCATCACCGGCCTCTTATCTGAGCGTGCACTCGTTCCAACCAAATGGAGCTTGAATAATATTAAGTTGAGAAATTGGAGGTACAAAGCAGCTTTTTATATGCACTCTGATATAGAGGAAGAAATATCAGAAACTGTTGAAGCAGAAATGACTCAGCACTCCAGAGAGGGGGATTTGTGTATGTGCTGGTGTGTGTATATAAAAGCACTACTTGTTTCGGTATGAAAACACTGATGTGGAGTCTGTGAAGTCTCTTATGGCGCTTTTCCACTGCGTGGTACGACTCGGCTCAGCACGGCTCGGCTCGGTTTGCGTTTCCACTGCAGTTCAGTACCGCTTTAGAGTGGGCGGGATTATTCACATGTCGTTATAGTCGCGCCGCCTCTATTGCTGCGACTCCTGAAAAACTTTTTCATTCCGCGTCGCCCCATCAAGCTCTCGCTGGATCCGCTCCTCTGCTATCAATGAGAGGAACGTCTGTACTTCCTCAACAGACAACGAAACAGCCACTTTTTGGTTGTTAAAAAAGGTGCGCTCATTCAAAACAGTTGCGTTCGATCCCTCGCTGGCTGTGCTGATTTAAATCTAGCGGTTCTGTTGTGTTTGAGTCGCAAGTTCAGTGACGCAGGTAGTGACGATTCTCTACGGCCAATCAGTAATCAGCAGAGTTGACACGTCACGTTTTGGTAATGGTACGGTTCACTTGGAACCTCAACCGAGGTGGTACTAAAAAAAGTACCAGGTACTGTACCCAGTGTAGAACCCCCCAAAAGTGAACCGTGCCGTACCATGTAGTGGAAAAGCGCCATTACTCTTTAGCCATTTTAGGCAAGTGAGTAAAAGAGTTTCCTCACCAAAAATGTACTGTGGGGGCTTTATGGTACTGTACTTCAATATATACCATGGTACTGAATGATTACCATGAATAATGCTTATTGTACATGGTACTGCAGGTACTACAAATATATATATATATATATATATATGTGTGTATATATATATATTTAAAAAAAAACATGGTATGTTAATTGTCCCTCCCTTTTGGAAGATCCTTAAAAGTTTTTTGGCTGCTATAAGGCCGTCACAGCCTTTGCAGGAACAGATCTTCTCATAAAAGTCCTACAACCCTACAAGAAGGCAAATAAAATGAGCATGTTATCTCATGTGTGAGCACCTTGCATTTAGTTTTGGTAACTTCGAGAAAAGTAGAGAAAGAAAATCCCCTACTAGGCAGAATTGAGAGTGCAGATCATAATGTGGCATTGCTAATTTAACACGTTAGCTCAGAAAAGACGTGTGAACAGGACATTTGGGTAAAATTTGAAGAGGATGTGGTCAAAGCTCAGCGTTAGAAAAGAGAGAACGATGTTTACTGCGGCTATTTTCAAACAGCTTTGTTGTTTTTTCAAACTCTTTTTTTTAGTCAAGGGCCAGTTTGCAAAGAAAACACATCTCAGTCTGACTGTGTAAAAAGAGTAGCTTGCTAATTTGTTCAGGTGGCGTTATTTCCTAGTTGAATACTCACTTTTTTAAAATCCACACTCACCCCCAGAGTGTTTCGGAGGATCTTGAAATCTGAGGGGTTCGCTAATTAGACACCCAGTACAAATGATCTTTCATGAGTTCAGTAACTTCGTTGAGGTAATTACACAGTACAACATTATTCTTGGATAATTTCCAGAAAAACACAACGTCGTGAGCATGTGCGTTTTTTCCCTCCTCTCTCTCTTAGATCATCACCGATTTTTGTCATAGAAACGGCAAAGCTGAAGGTTTAATGACTCTCTCCTCACATGGTCGTTATTTAAACGTCCCTTGTTAACGTCAGGCAGTTTATACCCAGAAAAAAAAACGAGAGAGTAGAAAGTGTAGAAGGCTGATGTAGGGCAGAGTCATTTACGGACAGGCGGGGAGGTTAATATCAGTGCATCGTACTTCTCACACATAAAGACCACAGATTTGTATGGATTGGAGGTGGACGAACTAGACTAGTTTTAGGCGAAAAGACAGGCGGTAATTAGTCAACTGAGCGACACATGCAGCAGAAGACTGAAAATAGGGCTGGGATGAGCTACCAACTTTATTAGGATGTGATGCGCTTAAAGCCGACACATCACAATGAGTCATTAGTTCACCTCCATAACCAGCACAGTCAAATCACACGCGTCAGGAAGGTTAGAGTGACACTGTCTGATAAACTTGTGTTGTGACCCAAAGTAGTGGCTCTCTTCTCTTTTCACATGGTTAAATGCCATGCCCTCTGAACTGAAGGCCAAGGGCAGGGTGGATGCTAGCTGTCACTTTTCCTCAGCAGGCCAGGTTTCTTAAACAACGTCCACCCCGACCTCGCAATCACTGCTGATGCACTCAGCGCTCCATCTTTGTGCCTTGAACTCCTAGCCGTTTTTTAATAAAATACCACTTAGTGGCTACCAAAAGCCTGGCTTTCTCTGTATAGCCTTAGGACAAATTAATATTTCAATCATTTGGGGATTGGAGGAAAAGCCAGGTCGCATTCCCGTCAGTGTCCCTCCCACCTCCTTCCTCCTCTCCACGTCGTCTGCATACCTATTTTGAAAATCCGATCGAGAGGTCATGCTATTTGAACCGATCTGATTGGCTGTCACCTCTAATCTGACGGACAAGCAGATGTTCCTTTCGGGCATGCTCAGTGGCTTCCGTCAGTGGGCCAACAAGGACACACGGCGACGGCAGGGAGGGGCGGGCAGTCTGGATCTGCCACTTTCCCTCAGCATTAGCATGCCTCTTAATGACCAGTTAAGAGGCAGGGCTGCAAATGAGTTGTGACAAGCGCTGCTGAAAACGAAGTCTTTTTCCCTCATTCCTGCTGCCTCTCAATCAACATTTAAACGCCTTGACGGCCTGACATAATTCCGCAATAATTATCACTCCTGGTCTTCTCCTTGGCCGGGACAGAAGTCAGATTGGATCTCATCACGGCGGAATAATGCTGACCAACAATAACTTTGTTTTTCTCCTTCTCTCTCCTCAGGGATGGGCCAGCTGGCTCAGGCAGGCCGGTTTAATCCGGTCGTGGTGAAGCAGGAGCCGGTGGACGGCACTTCCGCGGCCTCCCAGGAGTTCATCCAGGAGCACAGCCTGGACCTGAGCAAGAAAGACCACAGGTATCCCATCATCCTCCTCCTCTCGGCTCGCGCCCAGGCCCGCCCCGCCCCGCCGTGATTTATCTCTCGAATAATGCCGTATTGTGTTAATTAATGTGAGTGCTCTTGTTAAAACCCCCTTCACAAGGTGGGTCTGTGGAGTGATCAAGGAGGACGAGATTTACACGCTCCCTCCTTCTCCCAGCGCCGAGGCCTCCTTTGAGGAAATCCATCATACGAATGCAAAAATTCTCCCACAATGCCCTCTTTTCATAATGCACATCAAGTATGAGGCATGACATGTTTGCACATTCATTTAGATGAAAGTGTGTTTGCATAAACCCTAATTTCCAGGCTCCCTCGCTTTTTTTCTTCATTGTATATTCACAATCTCGGATAAATTATAATATTTACTGTTCTCATGCAAATCCTGCCTAAACACTGTTCGTTTTGCGTGTTCTAGCGCTGAATCAAACGGACACCCTGCGCCGGGAAATACATCTCTTTTATCCTCACTTATGAATAAGGTAAGATTCATCCATCAAACGCTTTTCATCCCAAGACAAATTAGCAGGATGCAGAGGGGGCTGTTTGTTTTTTAATGTTTCACCGCTAATAGGATGAGTTTGTATCATTTAAATTTTCCAGCCATTTTTCATACAGTGTAATTTCAGCCCGCCGCTCGCAAATTAATATAATGAAGCAGGAGCCGGTTGCCACGGCAGATATATAGAGATGTTTGTTTTTTGATGAGCTGTTTTGAACTCTCCGTGCTTTTTTTTTCTCAGGCTTTCTTCTTTTTCTCCTCCATCTGCTCTATCTTTATTTATGGACTTTATAAATTATTTGATTAAAAAGTCAGCATGTAGAAAAAGAGCAACTGTCACCCTCATTTTTTAAAAAGAAGAAATGGTGCCGAACAGATATTTAAATGTTGTGTGTTTTTGTGGGGATTAAAATGGACATTGTTTTAATCATATATCTTCTATGACTAATATAAATGGTGTGCATGTACCATTACCTTGATGATTTAAATAGAAAACTCGCTCTAGTTCTGCTGACGGCTTAGCTCAGCTCTCTCTCTCTCTCTTCCTGTCTCTCTCTCTGCTTCATATACAGTACTGAACGGAAACACATTTGAAGCCTCACACATAAAGCGCACGAAAACACTTGTGTGTTTGATCTGTCCTCGAGAAGAACTAGTCTTTTTGCAAACTGTGTGATGAAACGTGCCTAAGCATGTGTTTGTGTGTAGATGAATCCTGGTTTCTTCAGTGCTTTGGATCTGAAGTCAGAGCTGCAGGGAGCTCAGGCGGCAGACGGCTCAGACGCAGCTCAGTATCTCAGTAGGTTAATGAAGAGGTCAAACCCAGAGAAACACAATGAGCAGTGGAGGACCTACCTGTGCAGGTGCCTGAAATCATCTTGTGTCCCTATAGTCGTTTCCAGCTTTAGTTTTACTTTTCAAAGTCTCGTCTACACTTTTTTTAAAGCATGGAACTGAGACTTGTTTAATTTTCTTTCACATTAGTTATGTGAGTCTTTCTTTTTGTAATGCTTTTTATTTTTCGTTATATTTTTCATTTGTATTTACTTTTATTTATTCAATCGAACATTATTTTTTAAATTTAATTATTTTATTAATTATTATTATTTATTTTTTATATCCTTACGATTTTACCTGTATGCTAACTCCATTACACCCTAAGTTTCCAAATGTAATTTTCAAGCGAAAACATGAAAAGAAATGGTGAACAGTTGCACTTTCCCTTATACATACCTATAAATTGTAACCTTAAATCATGTTATTTATGTCATCTATCACCAGTATGCCCATATAAATCTTCCATTACAGAAAACTCAGCCATGTCTTGGCTGCACATCCTCTGTGTTTTGTTGAAGATGGTGTCTGGTTTTTGTCACCATCCATCTTTATGATGTACTCTTTTGCTTGTCAGTGCCATCCACAGTGTTTGTTCCCAGGTTGTTATGTGGAAAGAGAAGATTTATCCAGAGCATGTGATGTTATGTACAGCATTTAGTTACAAAGCCCTAGCAAAATGTCTCAGCTAGAGACCTGCTGCTTTTGGCTCAGGCATAGTTCACGTAAAAAAACAAAAAAAAAACATCTTATTCAAAGTCAGATCTTGATGAGCTAAACTGAGAATACGAGAGTAACTGACCTGGATTTACGAGCAGTTCGACCCTTTACATCCTCTTTCTTACAATCTTTGTACAGGTATGACACTGACGATTTCTGTGAAGCCCAGTGTGATTTCTTGCACAAGATACATTTTCATTGCCTAGTGGAAGATTGTGGGGCGCTTTTCAGCACGGTGGACGGAGCCATCAAACACGCCAAGTGAGAAGCGATCTAGTTCTAGTCTAGATTGCATTGCAATCAAACATAATGAATATAAATCAGTTTTTAAATGTTAAGGTTCACACCAACACACAAGCGCACATACGCACACGTACACAAAATTTACATGATTATGATCTAGTAATGTTAATTTGCTACTATGTTTGGCAGCTCTAATGGGTGAATCACCTCTCTGTCATTAGCTTCCACTTCAGAGCCAGCCTGAAGGTTAAATCGGAGCCCCCTTTCAACGAGAGCAAGGAATCCAATGATAGCGCCCCTAATCAAATGGCTGCCCCCATTTCCATGGCCAAGACACCTCCTATGGAGGTGCCCAGCCTGGCTGTGTCAGGGGGCTACAGCTCTTCCTCTTCTCTCCAAGCCTGGAAGCAGCTGGCCGGATCGATCCCCCAACTTCCTGCCTCCATGCCCAGTATGCCAGCCACTTCCCCTCTGGCCACCACCTCGCTGGAAAACGCCAGGCCTCAGGTCAAGCCTGGCTTCCTGCAGTTTCAGGAGAAGTGAGTAGACGTTGTCATTCTTGTAAATTCATGATACCGTGGTGGTATGATTTGAATGGTCTGTGCTGCCTGTATTTCCATGTCTTTTGTGCAGTTTTAAATATCTGACAGACGTTTCGTCACGCTTATCTCCCACAGTGATCCTTGTCTGGCCACAGACTGCAAATACTCGAATAAGTTCCACTTCCACTGTCTGTTTGGAAATTGCAAATATGTGTGTAAGACATCCGGGAAGGCTGAATCACATTGCCTGGACCACATTAACCCCAACAACAACCTGCTGAATGTGCGAGACCAGTTCTCCTACTATTCTCTGCAGTGTCTTTGTCCTAACCAGGTGAGCTTGATTTTTAGAGGTAATATTGTATCAAACATTCATTATTGTGTCTTTATTAGTGGCACACACTGTACACTTCCGTTCAAAGATTTGAGGTTGGTAAGAGTTTTTAAGCATTTTGAAAGATATCTACCAAGGGTGCATTTATTTGATCAAAAATACAGTAAAAACAATAATATTGTGAAATATGTTTACAATTTAAAATAACCGTTTTCTATTTTAAGAAATGTTGGAAATGTCATTTAATCCTGAAAAAGCTGAATTTTCAGCATCATTACTCAATTTTTCACTGTCGCGTGATCTTTCAGAAATCATTCTAATATGCTAATTTGGTGTTCAAGAAAGATTTATTATTGTCATCAATGTTGAAAACATTTGTGCTGCTAAATATTTTACAATTTCAGGACTCTTTGATAAACATAAAGAACAACATTTATTTAAAATATAAATATTTTGTGTACATTTGATCAAAATTATCATATTAATGCATCCTTGCTGAATAAAAGTATTAATTTTCCAATGTTTCAGGAAAAAAAATCTTTACTGGCCTCAGCCTACCCATTTTTTACCCATAATTTACAATTTTCTTATTTAAAAAATATTAAAAATGATAAAGTTGTCTAAATTATTTCAAATCGTAAAACTAGAAATGCCTAGCATTTATTTATTTTGAAGGATGGTACAATCACATAGCTACCACCCAGTACACCCTCTGAACTCATAGCAATATGCTGAAACCACTGTAAAAAAATTAAATGAAATAAAATAAATAATAATAAATATATAAAATGAATAGCAACACCCTGGCAACCACCACCAACACCCTAGCTCCATGGCAATAACCTTTGCACAGACAAACACCCTCTTTTCTGAAAACATATAAATGACATTTAAAACACTGAAGACAAAAGCCTAGGTACATACAGTATTTATTTCACCACAACAAACAAACCAACTAAAAAAACGAAAACCACCTTGGAGACCTCAAAGCTGTATAAAATAAACAAGTTTTGCTTTTCATCAAAAATTCCATCATTAATAGAAAAAAGCCCTCCCCTTCCTGCAACTTGCATTTGGAGCAAAACCTGTTTAAATGAATTCATTTATGCGTCCCATCCCCACTTCTCGGAGCTCCCCCCTCCTCTCCAGAGTAGAGTGGGTTCTGTTTATGTGCTCCTGGGGGAACTGCCTCTCTGGAAACAGATGGTGGTGCAGAAACAGGTTACATTGCGGAGGACACACACATGCACGCACACACAGACTAATGAATTGATAAAAGAGCTGTTTTAGAAATAGATGAATCGCCAAATGAACTAATTGGTGTGTTGTTATTGGGGTCAGCAGCTACAACGTGAACCTAAACTTCAGATTTCCGCTGGTCAGTGAGGCTGGTCCTGTCACATGCTCTGGGAAAGAAAGAGGAATAGGATTTAATGAGCACACGTAACCTACTTCTTCCCTTTGGTACCCTGAGTAATGAGTAACTAACTGACAAATGATCAGACCCCATTTTTGTTCAAAAGATGGTTGGTTTAGTAATGATTGTAAATTAATGTAATATGTAATAATTGGCTTGTGAATTAACTGTAGAAAACTGAACCATGGAGACTTGTGCAAAATGAGTTTTGTTTATTTGCTGCTCTCTCCAGCACTGTGAGTTTCGCATGAGGGGCCATTATCATTGTCTGAGACCCGGCTGTTTCTTCGTCACCAACATCACCACCAAACTTCCCTGGCACGTCAAGAAGCACGAGAAAGCTGAAAGACGTGCCATTAACGGCTTCAAATACTTCACTAAGAGAGAAGAATGTGGCAGACTAGGTAAGAACCAGCTTTTCATGTATTAAAAGAAACGTCTAGATCACAGAGTGACGGTTCGCATAAAAATTACAATTCTGTCATGTTCCTTTAATCCTTCCTCAACCCTTTGGAAATCGAATTTGCTTGATTCGGTGTGGTTTGCTGAGTAATTGAGTGAATTCAGCATCATGAAATCGTACAATCCTTACATGTCCCAGCCTCCCACACTCTTCGTTGTTTCAGTCACTGTTCACATTAGTTACTCGTGTTTCCAAACACTCTCTGTTCATCCGAGCTCCCACGTTATTCTCAAGCAGTGACTGCAAGCTCTTCGTTTGTAATGCAGCTGGAAGAATCAGAGATGGTGTGAAATCAGAGATGATGTAACTGTAATTTCATATAGATGCTATGAAAACACTTTTTCCACTGGCTCTGGCTACAGGAAAAGTGCCGTTCCTCTAGTTGAGTCACTAATTGCCATGCTGTTCACAGCAAAACATACAGAGCGTGAAACGGCTGCGCGTCGCACTTATTCACTGAATTTTGAGTATGTTTCTCAGAAGCTGTTGTCTCAATAGTATCTGTGCATTGATATTTTGTAAATTGAACCGTTTACATTGACAACAGAGTCAGCACGCCGGCAGCCGTTTACATTTTGCAGAACAAACACGTTTGGCGGAATTAAAGATGGTCTTGTCTCATTGTAAAACTGGGGACGTTTTATTTATATTACCGAAAACAGGCCGAGAAAAATGGTGTCTTGCCTTTTTGTCATACATTAATACTTCAGTATTTATAGTAGGCAATCAAACAGAGGTTGTTTTCTTGGGTATATTTAACCTGTCAGGAATGAGCAATTACATATGTTTGTTAATTACTGTGCCTGTCGAGCTCAGTCTGTTTGTGTTGCTCTTTTTCAAGCCTCGATCATCATCACAAGCAGGCAGATTAAAAGTTTGCATTTTATTTTCTTTCTACTCCCCTCCTCTTAAAGGGAGAGTTCACCCAAAAATTGTGCACCCTCCTTTTGAGCCAAACCCATCTGCTATGGAACATGAAGAAATGGAGATTGTGAATGGGGATGGTGCTGTTGAGCCATAAAAGAACAAAAATCATAATAAAAAGAGGTCAGTATATGTTTTTATGGTCTGTAGGTCCAACAGAAGCTGTATAAAAGCTTTAACTCTATGAAAGATAAATGATGACCGAATGTTCATTTTTGGGTGAACTGTCCCTTTAAGTTAAAGGGGTCCAATTATGCTCTTTTACAAAGTCTTGATTTTGTTTTGGGGGTGTACTAGAACATGCTGTCATGCTTGGTGGTTCGAAAATTGCCAAGCGTTCTAACCACAACCTCGCCCCTCCCCACCCCCCAACCATTCAAATTTCTGTAGGCGGGAATTATTTTTAATGATATCTAATGAGCCGCTTTGTGATATCACAAAGCCCAGAAACCAACGCTGTAGTCCAAACGAGCCGTTCATTGTAGTTCTTGAAAAGGGATTTTTTAAAAACTAAATATCTCCCTTTGGAGTGGACTTTGAGATTTGTAACTTTCTAGATCTTTTTTATGCCCAAACATACACACTACACACTGACTCAAATTAAAAAGTGAAAAAGCATAATAGAACCCCTTTAAGACAAAAAGAGCATTTATTGAGGAGTGGAAAGTATCACAAGTGTCCACAGAGTATAAGGTCTCTCCTGTTGCACTGTTAGTGGCATAAACCAGGGACATATGACAAAAGCAAGCCGTAGAGTCATAAAGAATTGATGGTTCAGCTGGACTGGGAAAGTGGTATCCATGGCAGCAACATTAAACAGAACACCGGTGATGAGGTTACCAGGATCTGGTGGCACAAGAGCCCTGATATTTCAGCATGTGCTCATATTTACTCAACTCTGCCTTTTTAAAGTATATCACCCTTGTGTACAAAAGCAATCTGACAACAAGGCAGCTTGTTGCGCGGTGCCACGGGTGCCATGGTAACGGGCAAGCCCGCACCTGCCCTGAATGCTACTCTTTCAATTATTTCAGCACGCATTATTCACAATAAAAATTATTACGAGCACCCTACAATATTTGATTAGTGCGCAGAGGCAGTCTTTAAATTTGAAAACATATAGCAATTAAAATTTGTAGGGCCCTTTGTGTAGAAAAAAATATATAATAAAAAAAAAGCAAAGGGACAGACGTGAGGGGGAGGAAATACACCAGCAACAGATAGGTCGTGAAAAATGAATTTAATATGGAAATAATTGTGTGTTTACTTTGGTTTGCAGGGTTGTGCATTATTGCTTCTCCAAATGCAGAATGTATTTATGTAAATTCCAAATTGAATAAGAGATGTCATTGTAATAAAAGAGCACCACAGGTCTAATCTTCAAAAGGTTCGACTTTCTCAGTGTGACACTGGACTCATCTGCTCTGTCTCTCCGCATTATGCAGGCGCGGGACGGAAGCACAATGTCCTCATTACCTCATTGAGGATCCATGATGTATGTTGTCCCTGAAACCCAGGCGTGATGAAGACGGACTTTGCTCAAGTTCATTTTGTCGCTCATCTCTTGCAGGGTGCAAATACAACCAAGTTAACAGCCACTTCCATTGTATCCGTGAGGGCTGTCAGTTCTCCTTCCTGCTCAAGCACCAGATGACCTCCCATGCCCGCAAACACATGAGGAGGATGCTGGGTAAAAACTTCGACAGAGTTCCTTCCCAGGTACGAAGAAATTGATGACGTCTTTTGGAGATTTTGAAGAAATTCTATATATTTTCATGCCTGCCACTTGAATGCAAATGATTTTATTCAGCGGGCATTTATTGGATTGTTTGGTATGCTGTACTTTAGATGGTCTCTCATGGCAACCGACCTGAAGAGATGCAGCACATGGCCAGTCTAGCTTCGTCCGGTGTGGTAGGCAGCCACTCTAGTTTGACCTCCAACTTCTCCAGCATGATGGAGGAGAATGATGACTATATGGACTACACCGGTGGAGGAAGCCCACTGGGTCTCTCCTCAGAGTCCTCCAACCAAGACCGCAGTTGCACCAGCACCCCCGTGGGCAACGATAGTTCGCCAGCAGGTGAGTCGACCTCAGTAATGACTATGGTTGTCAATATATGAGATGGACTGAATAAAAATACAGGCTCAGTGTGGCCAACGAAGCAAATATTTAAAGATTTGTTCAGTCAGAAAAAATGTCCTTGTATTCCTTATGTTAGCCTTTTGAACCTCCCTACGAAGAGAAATGTAAAAACCTGCACCCACTCTCATTGCATTCCTTGTAGCTGACTCGTAAAGCTACCAAATGTTTTCCATTGTAATGATATTAATGAAATTATAAAGCACTAAATTTGTTATATAGTCCTCCACACATGCACCGCTCAGATGAATGCCATCCCCCTCCCTACATAAGAATGAGGTTTTTTTTATAAGGGAGGCATCCCAGACTTTTCTCATCTCCACTGTCATTGAAATTAGCCACACACAGATAGCACAAGTTATCGACCATTTTCCTCTAGGCTTAAAGGTGCTTAAAGTGATTTTTTTGGAATATGGCACATAAAATGTCTCTCAAAGAACTCTGTGACAGCCCTATACTCTATAAACAGCCAAAAATAATCTGGGTGCAGTCTGTGCTTTTTTAGCCAATCAGTTAACTTGAAGGCCTGTCAGTCATTGTATGTGGGATTTTGAGAGAGCTCGTTTGATTGAAGGGATGGGCGACAGGTCTAATTCACAGGCGTACGTTAGAGAACTGCCTAACAATGCTACAGCTGCAGCACCTTTAAATCTGGACCTTTGCTCTTTGAATCTGAGCTTTCCTTCATTGAATTGATTTTTAGTTTCACAGTTTGATTTCAAATGTTATCTTCCATTCTCATCACTGTTGCTTTTGGCTGTTGTCTGACTTTTGTTACCATTTGGCTTTCATTATTTCATTACTTGATCTCTTTCCCTTTTTACCTCCCCACCCTTGTGTACTTTCCTGTCTCTGTTACCATCCTTCTTTGGCACCGTGTCTCTGTAGGACCAGGCTGTCAGGTCCCTGCCACCACTACCTCTGCTGACTCTCCTCCTTCTTCTCAATCTGCACCTCCTCCTCTTCCACCTCCTCATCAGCCTGCGTTCCAGAGTCAGCCTCCATCTCTCTCCTCGGCTCTTCTCCGGCCACCACTCCCCTCGCTCCCATATCTCCTCTCCACATCCTGTCTGTCATACTCTCTGCTCAGCGCCTCTCTCGGAGCCACTAGGAGTGTTGTCATGCCAACCAACACACCAGCTTTCAGCCCCATCATTCCTACTTCGTCTTCGGTTAAAAATGACGTCCCTATAGTGCAGGACGCTGCAGGTACTTATCCCGTCTCCAACCGAACACTGCAGCTCTAAAGTCACAGTAGTTTGAACTAGGGCTTATTAGCAGGTTACAACTCTTTAGCATTTTACACATGCAGTGCAGTTCATGCAAGCCACCGAGGTGGTGGTTTTAGTCTTGTGTAGTACATTGCACACCTGCCATCAGGTCCACTGTCTGAAATGCTGTCCATTAGTAGCCTGCTGTAAAGGGCTGGTTTAATCATGCCAGACTTTAATAGAGTCATGTGATTCCTGCTGGCCAGGACAGGGAGCACATCATTAACACTGACCTTAGGCTTATGGGAGGGAAACCTGCTCTCCCATAAAGCCAGATGTACGGAAGCACCTTTGAACTCTCCCAATACCTAGACGTGACAATCACATTAAAATGTCACCAGTACATTATACAAATGGGACTGTCTCTGTTTGATTATGGCATGGAATCACATTAGATAGTACATTGCTGTAGGAGGAACCTTTGTGGGTAACTTTGATAGGGCGCATGTGGCTACTCCTTCTTGCAGAATTGCTTTGCCGCTCGTCGTACTGAGTGAAGTCTAACCCGTATATGCCTTTTTTGCAAACAGGTAACACCATCTCTATTCCGACGGCAACTGGGGCCAAGAAACGCTTTTGGATCATCGAGGACATGTCACCCTTCGGCAAGCGCCGCAAGACCGCTTCATCTCGCAAGATGCTGGATGAAGGTATGATGCTGGAAGGGTTCCGCCGCTACGACCTCTATGAGGACTGCAAGGATACGGCCTGTCAATTCTCCCTGAAGGTAACCCACTATCACTGCACGCGGGAGAACTGCGGCTACAAGTTCTGCGGCCGCACTCACATGTACAAGCACGCCCAGCACCACGACCGCGTGGACAACCTGGTCCTGGATGATTTCAAGCGCTTCAAGTCTTCGTTGTGCTGCAACTTCCCCGATTGTCAGTTCTCCGGCAACAGCACCCACTTCCACTGCCTGCGCTGCGGCTTCCGCTGCACGGACAGCACCAAGGTGACGGCGCACCGCAAGCACCACGGCAAGCAGGATGTGATCAGCGCCGCCGGATTCTGCCAGTTCAGCTCCAGCGTGGACTGTGAGGTGGCTGACTGCAAGTACAAGCTCAAGTGTTCGCATTTCCACTGCACTTACCCAGAGTGCAAGCACACAGTGGTGGGTATGTCACAGATGGATTCCCACAAGCGCAAGCATGAGAAGCAAGAGAGGGGAGAGCTGCCTTCTGTCTCCCCCAACCAGGATGGCAACCACCACCACCATGCAGGCCTAGCCGTGCCTCCAATGCCCATGAATAGGCCCCCAACCTCACCCGGCACACCGGGGCTGACCCACAACAACATGGCCATGTACCTCCCTTTGGCAGGAGCCGTCAGTGAGTACAAGCATCTGGGCTCAGCAGTCAACCTTGACAGCTCTCTGAACCTGGGGACAGACACCAACAGTTCCTTGTTCTTCCTGAAAAACGCTGCTGGGTTGGGCCTCAGTGACTCCATGGACCTGAGCAAAAAGATGCACCGGGAGCCACTGTCCCTGGCCACCAGTTCTGGCCCTGCTGCTTCAATGGGCCTGAGCCACTCTCAGGATGACACTACCGGCACATCCGGCGACCCCGAAGACGACCTGTCGGCTGAGGAAGAGCCGATAGTCGAGGAGGATGACGAAGACGATGACGACGAAGAGGACATGAATACAGACTCGTATGAAGATTCCATGCCAGAGCCAGAAGTAGAAAAAGACAATGGAGAGAGTTTTGATGCTTCCATGAACCACGCTGAGACTTCCCAACTGGATAAAGAGGAGCCGGAGGCTGAGCCCTAAGCTATGCTGTAGAAGGAGAACTATGAATTCCCTGAACAAACGCAAGTTTGAGTGGCCTCATTTATCATGCTTAGAGACGCAGCAGATGACAAGAAAATAACCAACTACAAGAAAAGTGAAGGCCCAAAATGATTTATTATGATGTTTACAAGATGACCAACATTATTAATTTAATTATGCATTAAAAAATGAACAGAGAAATAGACAGACGAGGCCCTCTTTTACACATGGGTGGCTATGTAAACCTTTTCCTACACATCAGTCTTTTGTGTGTGTGTGCATGTTTGACTTTAATTTATTCGATTTCATTTGTTACTTTCTGTGTGTGAAAAAAAAATAAGGAAAAAACAATCTCTCTATATATGACTATCTATATAAAGTAGATGTGTGGTTGTTAATGTACATTTTAATTGCAGTCACTGGATTGCAGGACCCTCGTACCAACCAGAAACAGACGAAAAGCGTACATTGCAGGAAATCTTTTATAAAGAATGTTGCTCAAATAATTGATTCAGAAACACCTTGTGTCATTATTCTTATTCTAATTGTTATTGAAGTGCAGGGGCCTGCATCAGTGCTTTGACTTGTATGCTTCTCCGTTGATCAGTTGATTTTTTTTATTATTATTATTATTATTTTTATTTACAGTTATCACAGTTCTCACTTAAACCTGCTGTCATGGTCAGTGGTGTCATAGGCTCCATTCCATGTGGACATTCGCCTGCATCTTCAGGACAAACAAACAGTGACTGCAAAGCTTCAGGCCATAAAGCATTGATCTCAGTGAACGCTAGCTCTCACTTGATTTCTGTTCCTTCTCCTTTTTTCAGTGAGGACCCATTTGGCATCGCATATTCATAGTGCACTTTTGTATAGATGAGAGCAGATACGCAAGCCTCTATTTAAGACGTTTTATCTTTTACATTGATTGCATTACTATGGCTTTTTGTTTGTTTGTTTTTGCATTATTCTCTAATTGCACAGGCATGACCAGACGATGTGGGGGTGTCTCACTGTAAATGGGTCTGTTTCAGTGGCGAGAGTCGTCGCCCCCTGTGTTTAGGAGAGTTTGTAATGTGATGATGGTGCTACTGCCCAGTATGAATGGGAGGAGATTACAGCTATGTCTTTGTTTTGATCCACAAATAGATGTCCTAAAGTGTCCATCAAATACAGAGCAGGAGACAAGTGTCTCTGAATGTTGGGAAAGGATGTTTGTAGGTGTTATTTTTCTTTCCTTTTCCCTTCGCAGTTTCTGTAGCATGGAGAAAAAAAAACAATAGTTGCAACAAAGTCTGAGGACGAAGACTGGCTTTTTCAAGCTTCTTTTTTCAGAAGCATCATATATCTATTTCTAAAAGAAGAGGAAACGTGGAGAGAGACTTTTTTCTAGAGGGCTGAATGGAGGACAGACATCACAAAGGCACCACGATGAATGTTAATGCTGGTGATGGAAAGGGTGTGATTTTATGAATTGTACAGACAGAAAACAATGTTTCAAGCTTTTGTTTTCTCTTTACAACAGCTGTGGTTTCGCTCCAATAATAAGAAGTTATTTAATATTTATGTGACCTTGCAATGAGAAAATTCTAGGGTGTTTTTGCACTTTTTAGGTTCATTTTTACCTTTTGAAATTATGGCATATATCTTTTAACAGGGAATTTGCTTTACAATGTTGTTTAGTTCACTTTGCTTTGATGCACAAATAGTCTTCAGTGTGACGAAGAACTGTTGTTCTGTGTTTTATTTAAGAAAAAAAAGGGGGGAAATTTTTTTTTTTCTTTGCTTACAAGATTGGATGATTTCAATATGAAACAGGCATGCTAGAACCTGGCTTGTCTAATGAGTAACACTAATGATGACTGTAATTTAAATGAATTCTATACAGAGGAAATTATTGCAGTGCTTCGCTCCAAATTAAAAAAAAAAGAGAGAAGAATGATTTTTGTTTGCTTGGCCTCCGTTGAATATAAACAAGGAAACGCGAGGCGAGGAAATTATGAATTATTTCCTAAACACGGCTTTGATCATAATATAGGCAACTAGATGTGTAGATGGTTATCTTCAACAATATTGTTTCAGGAGGGAAAAAAAGGTTGTATAGTATTTTCTTCTGTAAAAACTATATATGAACAAAAATGCTCTTTGATTAAAAGCTTCCTTTAAAAAGAAAATAAAAAGGAGAAATAAAGAAAAAGTAAAAAACTGAACTAACACCAGTATAGTTTGCTTGTATGTATGTGTGTGTGTGCGAAAGTATGTAAGCGTGTGTGTGAGGTTTTATTGTTATTACCATGGTTTCCCCATAGTGGTAGAGGAATTAGTGGTAATTAAATCTATACGAGTCACATTGTTGCACTGAACACTGGAGTGTGTTTCTACCTTTTACGCAACAAAGTCATCATTTTCAAAGCTGTATATCATGTGCGATCACAATAACGATGATATCTGCATAATTTAATACCATCCACAACTCTTTGTTTGCTATTGTTTTGGTGTTTGTTTTATTTAATTGAACTTATGTATTTTGCATATGGCATGCCCCTCTCACAGGCCGTTTGTTCTCTGGTCTCAAGTGCAAATGCGTAGGACTCACTGAAGCAGCTGTTTGCCTGGGAGATACTGTGCACTTGAATACCTTTTATGTGTGTAAAATAGCAGGATTTGTAAAGAGTCGAAATAAAGAAATTCTAATTATTATAATGCAAATGTTCCACACAGTGTTTCTCGATCTCATGGCTTGCGCGGTTAGTCGTAGGTAGCGCTGCTGTGCTGTAGTGAAAAGGTTTAACGAGACTGTGGTTAATAAGCCCCCCTCCCGCTGAGACTAACGCCGTTAAAGGGCACAAGGCCCCGGGTCTGTGGTATGACACAGAGAACGCCAGCAGCGCTGCTCTGACTGAGGAAGACAGCATTTTAACATCCTTATTACTTTTCTCCATAGACAGCGCATTTTGAATATAGCAAATTCAATACGTGTGTACAAAGAATAGATCATAAAATTCTGACTCTGACATAGTCATGGAGCCATACTTAGGGTACAAATGCTCTCTGGTGCATTTCGGGAAAGTTTCTAGCTCTCTAAAAGGGTGTTTGTTTTTTATTCTTTTCTCTCGTGCAGGCTGCTCGTCGCTTTGACCAGCATATACCGTCCTGTCCCACTCGCTACAGCTGTTCTCTTGCCTCACCCTCCTCTTCCTTCTGATATGTCTTTAAATAAAAACGTGTAAAGCCACCACCATCTGTCTGCCAGCTGGCATCCTGCATATAATCTTGAAAAAAAAAGAGACAACTATGGAAATTATATTACACAAAAACCAGACGGAAACAACCTCCAAACTAGTGCAGGCTGCTGTTGAAACAACAGATCACCTTATTGTCTTACAAAAAAAAATAAAATAATAATAATTCTTGATTTTGTTGTATAAATAAAAAATTGCATTCAATTATGTAAATTATGTTGCAAACATGATTTGGACACTTAGGCCACAATTAAAAATGCAAGATTTTTTTTAATATAAGAGAGTCAAATGACAAATCAAAAATACATTTATTTTAAAGTGAGCACAAGCATGCTTTTCATGCAAAACATTAGAGCAAAACCAAAAATGTTAAATGCTAAATGTAATAATCATATATTAAAATGTGTGCATATCGGCTATGCTGTATTTATGCTAGAGCAGTTTTCAAAGCGTTTATCAATTGTATGTGTATTTCAAATTATAAATAAAATAAATATATAATTTAGAATTTTATATAATTAGATATATTGCAAAATGTGTTAAATTATAACTACAGTATTAAGTAGATAAGTTTGGGCATTGCAAAAGCAAAAACTTAATCAAGTGCAAACAAATACTGCTAGATTATTATTATTTTTTTTCAGAATGAATGTTTGCTCCGTAATGCAATGAATGAAATTCATACATTTTTTTATGCTTTTATGTCCAAGAACGTTGTGGGACCACCATATGTGGAATTAAATTAATAGATTTTTTTATATTGAGCTTATTTACCTAACAGATTTCACTTGAAACAGAGACACACAGCTGCATGAACATGTCTCATCTCCATAGACTTTTTTTTTTCATTCCCATCATAATGAGCCATGTGTGTAGTCATACCGGGGCTGGATCTGACTCGTATTGCGGGTTGATGTTCCAGGAACAGGTTGTGTGAGATGCAGCAGCAGCAACAGCAGCGCATGAGGAACAATGGAGCCCAGAAACATGCGACAGGTGTTCTGTACATATGTCACAGCAGCGGTGGTCACACATCATCTACACAACCTATTAGGATGCACAAGAATCAACCATAATATTTCAAGCAATCGAGGAACGCCGTGTGTATATTTAGTTTCTTATTGAATTGTTTAATTGCATTACACCCACAAACACATTGTAACAACTGTGTATTTCTGACAATTCAGAAGTGTACGGTTTAGTTACAAATCGCATTTCATATGCTTGTCATAAACATCAAAAGAATCATTCCATTTGCGCATATAATTGCAGTATTGTTCTGTTTTTAGTTTGCGTCTGTAAATCTCATCCATTTCCTTGTAACCTTTTGCATTCACATTCATTTTGCCATTTCCATTCATGCATGGCTTTATTTAAAGAGACCTTTGGTCAGAGTTTAAAAAAGGATTCATAAGGAAGCTGCCGTGCCACTGGTAGCAGCTGCTGCTTGTGTGAAAAATTAAGTTCAGGGACCCCAAAGGAAAAAGAGAATTAGACACACATTCAGCCAATTTAACTTTAACAAGACCTTATTGGCGGTAATGTCAAAGGCCCGCTGTGTACAAATGCTATTCTCTGTATTCATGTCTACTAAAATGAGGAGAAATGCTCAATTATGTTCTGGATCAGGGGAGATTTCAGCATAAATATGACTTTAAATGTGTGTAGTCAGACACAACAAGCTCGTTCAGTAGACAGTATTTCTGATTTTGGCAAATCAGTGTAACAGAAAAGCACATCCAAAGCTAAGAATGATTTAATATGCTCTTATCTGAACATTAACTAAAGACACGCCTGTCGAAATCATGCACGTTTTTACTTGAACAAGTGAAGAATTTCAGTCTGAGATGCACGTACATAAACTCACTGTGCCAAATTTCCAAAGTCACAATCTTCTAATAGCAATTTTGTGCAAGTGATAACAGGTCCTTTCTCTGTAAACGTAAACTTTAAATGTAACTTTACCAAGCTTGATTTAAAACAGTCATTTTAAACCCAAATATCATTACATACAATACAAAAATATATATATATACATATATACTTGAAAATGCCAATGCACAATACAAGGACACAAAATGCCCTTGTTATAGGTATTTAAATATGTTTTTGTTTTTAAATTATAATTTTAAACAATTATAAAATGTATAAAAGCCCAGTAAGAATCTGCAAAAATAAAAAATATATATATATATATATATATATATATATACATATATACTTAAAAATGCCAATACACAATACAAGGACACAAAATGCCCTTGTTATAGGTATTTAAATATGTTTTTGTTTTTAAATTATAATTTTAAACAATTATAAAATGTATAAAAACCCAGTAAGAATCTGCAAAAATTGTATTTATATAAAGTAACATTTTACAATAAGGTTCCATTAGCCAAAAATAGTTAATGTATTAACTAACATTAACTAACAGTGAGCAATACATTTGTTACAGTATTTTTTATCAATCTTTAGTTAACAAAAATAAGGAACGCTTTATTTGACAGTGTCACTGTTACACATATTACATATACTTACAACAGTAATAACAATAGATTATGCATAAATACATGCAACTTACCCTAAACCAAACCCTCATCCTAACCTTAACCATATAGCAAGTACATGTATACCCTACTTAATTAATATTACTCAGTAGGCCTACTTAATTGTATAATTACATTGTAACAAGGCTACAGTCAAATAAAGTACAACCTAAAAAATAAAACTTCATTACTGGTTCATGTTTGCTCAGGTCAAATAAAATAATATTAACAGATACAACTTTTGATCTTAATAATGTATTATGAAATTGACACTAAATGGGTCTTTTCTCATTGTTAGTTCATGTTAATTGTAAAAAAATAAATAAATAAAATTATTATAGTGTTATCAAACCGCCATTTTAACAACACTCTTATTGGTAGGACGAGGAGTTTGTTTGCAAACAATTTGTTTGTAATTTGATCTGTACATTTATATATGTATTTGATACAAATACAATGTCAAGTTGAAACAACTTAATATTCATGAGCTGAGACGGGCAGGTCGTGACATCACTACACTCTTAAAAATAAAGGTGCTTCACGATGCCATAGAAGAACCTTTTTGTCTAAATGGTTCCATAAAGAACCTTTAACATCTGAAGAACCTTTCTGTTCCACAAAAGGTTCTTTGTGGTGAAAGAAGGTTCTTCAGATTATAAAAAGGT